AGCCGGGCATGGTAATGGGTGTCTGTAATCTCAACTACTTGGGAGGCTGAGGCTGGAGAATTGCTTGAACCTGGGAGGCAAGGTTGCAGTGAGCCGAGATCATGCCATTGCACTCCAGCCTGGGCAACAGGAGCAAAATTCCATTTCAAAAAAAGAGATTCTGTAACGTTGCAGACCGGCCCCCGTTTTGGGCCAGACAAAGAATTAGCTGATCCAAAACATCAGTAGAGGTTGAGAAATGCTACTAGCCACACAGAGAGTGGGGATGTACCAGAGGGGAGTTCAGGATGAAAGGTGTGACAAGAACAGAGAGAAAAAAGGGGGGACTTGGAGGAGGAAGTTGGGTGGAGGACAAAGGACTGGACCTGGCGCAGGCAGACTTGGGCTCCATCCACCAGCCATGTGACCTTGTGCAAGTCACGTAGCTCCCTGACCTTCAGTTCTCTTGTTCGTAAAAAAGCCACCAGGGGCCAAAAGCAGTGGCTCATGCCTATAATCCCAGCACTTTCGGAGGCCGAGGCAGGCGGATCACTTGAGCTCAGGAGTTTGAGACCAGCCTGGCCAAACTGGTGTCGAAAACCTGTCTCTACTAAAAATACAAAAAGTAGCCAGGCGTGGTGGTGCACACTTGTAGTCCCAGCTACTTGGGAGGCTGAAGCACAAGAATTGCTTGAACCCCAGAGGCAGAGGCTGGAGGTTGGAGTGATCCAAGATCACGCCACTGCACTCTAGCCTGGCTGACAAAGCAGAGACTCAAAGAAAAAAAAAAAGCCACAAAGATTACACAAGAAAATAAAGATGGAAGAAACTAACCTCACGCCTTGGCACACCAGAGATATTCAATAATGGAGGCTGGGGTGTGTGGATACAGGGCTGTGGGGACTAAATTTTTCCAAAAAGCCTTGATGTTAAGAATCAGAGTACTGGAATAGAGAGAGCAAGCACAGCACTGTCCTGTGGCTGCATGCAAATGAAAAGCCATACTGTTAGGGAAGAACCTTCAACTGGTTTGTTTTTTTAGGGCCCCACCCCCGCCTTTGGCTGAGTGATAACAGAAGTCCTGATTTCCCTACACAGCCTTTAGGAACAAAGCATTCCATCGGTGGGCATTAAGTTAGTTGCAGGCAGTTGAAGGGCCTTGACTTCCTGCCTGTCAAATCAACCTCTCAGAGTCCGCCGCAGTGAAGGGCGGGCAGCCACCGGTCAGGCAAACGCTTGACTTGGGCATTCATACAGTAAACAGACACATTATACTCCAAAAAGCCAGCTCTTCTGGACAACTGCTGTCCCTTTGGGGTCCTCAGAGGTGGAATTCGGCCTTTTCACTCAAGTCCTGGCTGTGATCATAAAGGCAGCTTTTAACCCTTTTTAAGGAAAAGAATGGTGAGTGAAGAAAGAAAACAAATGACTACGGGTGGCAAAATGCAGCCTTCGTTTTAAGAAGGGCTGAATTAGAACACTCAGCTGTGCTTCTGGCCTTGAAAGCTGCCAGCCACACTGCAAGCTCCCGTAGCCTCCAGGGGCCTGGGCTCTAGCCCCACCACCTAATGCCATTCACCATGGAAAAGATCTCTCCACAAGGAATCTTTGATCAGGAAGCCATCCAGCTTTTGGGCGATACGTTAATGTGCTCATAGGGCCTTTCTGCAGAGGTTCACGAAAATCTTACCTTTTGCATCTCATCTCCCCCCTCCCACCACCTTACCAATTCCTCACTGCTTTCATGTAAAGCAGCTTGTCCAACCTGTGGGTTGCATGGCCCAGGACCGTTTTGAATGTGGCCCAATACAAATTCATAAACTTTCTTAAAACATGAGATTTTTTTTTGTGATTTTTTTCTTTAGCTCATCAGCTGTTGTTAATGTTAGTATTTTATGTGTGGTTCAAGACAATCCTTCCAGTGTAGCCCAGGGAAGCCAAAAGATTGGACACCCCTGATATAAAGGAAAGAAGGGAAACATCCATCTGGTAGACAGAATGTATACTGTCTATTCTGCTGTCTACTAACTAGCAGTAGACAGCATAGACTCTAGAGTCAGAGACTAAGGTTCAAATCTTGGTTCTACCATGAATTCTACAACTTTGAGCAAGTTAGTTTCCTACCTCAGAGGGCTTTGTAAAGATTCATCCATAGAAACTGCTTAGCACAGGGCTAGCACGCAGCAAAAGCTTCAGAATAATGCAGCTACCATTTATCAAATACTTACCAGGTCCCCTGAGTACTTTTCTAAATGCTTTTCATATGCTACATCACTGAAGGCTCTCAGCAGCCCTTGCAGGTGGTACTGTTGTTATTAGGTTGGCACAAAAGTAATTGTGGTTTTTGCCATTACTTTTAATGACAAAAATTGCAATTACTTTTCTGCCAACCTAATATTATCACCACTTTATAGTTGGGGACAATGAGCCACAGAAAGGTTAAGTCTGTAGATAGACTGCACAAGTACTAAGGGTTGAGGCCAGCATTCACACCCAGGCAGGTGATTATGCTGCTTCCCAATAAATAGGATTACTATTGTGAGAATCTCCAAAACCCCAAGGTCAAAAGGGAGAATTTACAACTTCTGGGTCCCTCTCTTTTATGTGTTTTCCAACAGCAAATATGCAGTGAATTTATGGGTCCAAAACACTGACCTCTCTTTCTGGTTACTGCTAACGTAAAGACTCATTTCCCTCACCTAAAGGTAAAGTCATGAAGTGAGGAGAGTCTGGAGTCCCAGCGCTTTTGAATCAGTGTTCGACTGTTGTTGGTCCAGGAAGGAACAGGGCTTCTGATAACAAATAATTACACTTTGTAATTTCTCTTTAGTTTGCAAGCTACTTTTGCATACACATTTGCATTCTCATTGAATCATTACAATAACCCTGAGCAGTGACTGCAGTGCCCATTTAACAGGTAAGGGCACCTGCTTTGGCTGAGGTCAGGAGGTAAGCAGGAGAGCCAGGATGCCAGCCCCATTCTGACACTTAAACTAGTCTTCATCTCTCAATGTGATCTCAGAGTCTAGACTTTCAGTAAACTTTCCGGGTGACACAGATGCACACCAAGTGTCTAGAGGCACTGCTCTCCACCTTTGCACAGAATGTACAGCTGAAGGTGGACCACACCTGTCACGTGGAGGCACACGGGTATTCAGTGACTACACACAGCTACAGAGCAGCTTTTTCAAGTTGAATCAGAGATGAGAAGGCTTAAGGAGTGCTCTGTGAGTATTCTGGAGTCTCATGGCTACCCCACTGTGGAAGGGATTAGGATTACAATGAGAACAGGAGGAATCACCATTCATTTATAATATGCTAAAGCGTATTAGCATATGCCTCTCTCCTTTTATCCACTGGCAGCAATAATACTAGTTTGTTGAATGAATGAATGAATGAATGAATGAATGAAACACTCCTCTATAAGCTTGTGAAAGCTGGAGTCAAAGGAAAAGAGACTCAGAATATCAGGAATAAAAGTAGTTATTTCCTACCTAACCAGTACTAAAGAGAATAGCAATCTTCTACTTTGCAAGGACGCCTCCCAGTCCCACCCAGGTTGTGTTTATTCCTTTCTCCTACAAGAGTTCCTTTCACCAGCTGTATTATCTGGCTGTGAAACTGACATGCCATGACTCTACTTACTTCTGTCCCATGGTCCCTTTTATTCCCGTTATCCCTAGAGGCCAGCTTAACTTGGTTGGTTTGGAAATCTACCAGGTGAAGGCTGGGCGTGGTGGCTCTCATGCTTGTAATCCCAGCACTTTGGGAGGCCGAGGTGGGCAAATCACCTGAGGTTGGAAGTTCGAGACCAGCCTGACCAATGTGGAGAACCTCTGTCTCTACTAAAATACAAAATTAGCCGGGTGTGGTGGCGCATGCCTGTAATCCCAGCTACTTGGGAGACTGAGGCAGGAGAATCACTTGAACCTGGGAGGCAGAGGTTGCAGGGAGCGGAGATCACGCCATTGCACTCCAGCCTGGGCAACAAGAACAAAACTCCATCTCAAAAAAAAAAAAAAAAGAAAGAAAGAAAATCTACCAGGTGAAGTATTCTCCTCAGTGGGCCCTCTCAAAAGGGACACTATCAGACACACGATTACAGGTCCAAGAAAGTTCAGCTCTCTCTTGCTACTGTTATATACAGAAAAGAAGTCCTTAATGGTTAGCCTCCAAAGTTATGAGGCGGAAGAACATAATGCTAAGCACACGGGAAAAAAACTCCCCAGGATACAAATCCCGGCCCTGCTAGTTCCTAGCTATCTGACCCTGGGCAGTTATTTAATCTCTTTATACCTTATTTTTTCAACAGGAAAATTGGGATAATAAAAGCCCCTATGTTATAAGGATCTTATGAGAAATAAATTAGTTAATTCATAAAAAGGACTTTGCATTATTGCCTGGCACATACTAAGGGGTCAATAAATAATAGCTCTTGCTATTACTATTAAAGATTTGACTCACCCCAGAACTGTCACACCCAACACTCCATGATTAAGATCTGCTATTTTAGGATTTGAGATGTCTGACAACCCTACCGTGTACCAGGCAGCAGTGCCACCCCCATGGGTTAAGCTGGTGGCATGAATAACTGCATTCTTGCTTTATTGCCTTTCTCTGGAAGAGCTTGAAGCAAATGGCATCAGTTATCCTTGCCTCTTTTTTTTTTTTTTCAGACAGTCTTGCTCTGTCACACAGACTGGAGGACACTGGCACTATCTCAGCTCACTGCAACCTCTGCCTCCTGGGTTCAAGCAATTCTCTGCCTCAGCCTGCTGAGTAGCTGAGATTATAGGTGCACGCCACCACACCCAGCTAATTTTTGTATTTTTAGTAGAGATGGGGTTTCAGTATCTTAGCCAGGCTGGTCTTGAACTCCTGACCTCATGATGTACCCGCCTCAGCATCCCAAAGTGCTGGGATTATAGGCATGAACCACCGAGCTTGGCTTATTACCAACTAGTTCTGAGGAGGCAAGGACAAGAGAATCCAGAACCTAAAGTACAGAGCAATTAAGAAATGGATTAAGCTGGCCAGCGTGTTGGAGAGACCGCTACCAGTGAACCAGCCCGGGTTTTTCGGACTCGGGAGTCGTGCAGATCTGTTGGATCTGGGTCCAGGGAGTCCCAGTGATGGGCTGACCCTGGCAGTGCCAGGCTGGGGTGTCCCAGAGTAGCCAGGAATCGAAATGCTTCATGGAACGACCACCCTGGCCTTCAAGTTCAGCCATGGAGGCATAGTTGCGGCCGACTCCAGGGCTACAGCAGGTGCTTACATTGCCTCCCAGATGGTGAAGAAGGTGACAGAGATCAACCCATACCTGCTGGGCACCATGGCTGAGGGCGCAGCAGATTGCAGCTTCTGGGAATGGCTGTTGGCTCGGCAATGTCGAATCTATGAGCTTCGCAATAAGGAACTCATCTCTGTAGCAGCTGCCTCCAAGCTGCTTGCCAACATGGTGTATCAGTACAAAGGCATGGGGCTCTCCATGGGCACCATGATCTGTGGCTGGGGTAAGAGAGGCGCTGGCCTCTACTATGTGGACAGTGAAGGGAACCGGATCTCAGGGGCCACCTTCTCTGTGTATGCATATGGGGTCATGGATCGGGGCTATTCCTATGACCTGGAAGTGGAGGAGGCCTATGATTTGGCCCGTCGAGCCATCTACCTAGCCACCTACAGAGATGCTTACTCAGGAGGTGCCATCAACCTCTACCATGTGCGGGAGGATGGCTGGATCTCCAGTGACAATGTAGCTGATCTGCATGAGAAGTATAGTGGCTCCCCCTGAAAGAGGGTGGATGCAGCTGCTTGTGTTTCTTGGGGTGACTGTCGTTGGTAATAAGGATACAGTGACCCATCCTCCATCCTATTTATAGTGGAAAGGTCTTCAATTGTATCAACACTTTTTAAGCTCTGGCACATTGACCTCTATGTGTTACCAGTCGTTAATGAGCTGCTGCAGAGGTGACTATTTGTTTTACTTTCTTGGATGTTAACATTACACTACTCATTTCTCAAAAAAAAAAAAAAAGAGGCCGGGCGCGGTGGCTCAAGCCTGTAATCCCAGCACTGTGGGAGGCCGAGGCGGGTGGATCACCAGGTCAAGAGATCGAGACCATCCTGGTCAACATGGTGAAACCCCGTCTCTACTAAAAATACGAAAAATTAGCTGGGCATGGTGGCACGTGCCTGTAATCCCAGCTACTCAGGAGGCTGAGGCAGGAGAATTGCCTGAACCCAGGAGGTGGAGGTAGCGGTGAGCCGAGATCGCGCCATTGCACTCCAGCCTGGGTAACAAGAGCGAAACTCCGTCTCAAAAAAAAAAAAAAAAAAAAAAAAA